TTTTTTTCTTCAGAATGTTGTATCTGATTTTCAAAGGTATATTGTCAGGTATGGGATTATCGGATACGTTCGCAGCCGAGCACTTGCGATATCAAATTGGCATATCTAAAGGATGTCATGTTATAAAACCTGTCCATTTATATCTTTATGACATTTTATTCGATTACATTAGCGACGCAGTTTCAAACGTCAAGCGCGGAAAAAAAAAAACAAAACAATATTGTTATAATAATAAATTAAAACATGAGCATTTAGCGCATATACAAATTATAATTTCAAATAGCGCAAAGTGCCACTTGAGACTTTTAACAAAAATGTCAAACATTTTATCGGGCTTTTTTGTTTGTTGTCGCTTTTGTTGTTGTTGCTTTTGTTGTTTGAAATTGTTGTTGTTTAATATGCGAGAACTTAAATGGCGGGCTTTGTCGGCGATTTGTGCACTTTTCGACGGTTTCATTTGGCAACTAATCGAAGGCGTCGCATGCTTTAAGTGTAAACAAATTAACAAGATCATTTACCATAATTGAGATGCCGATCTCGAAGGCGGAACCTCGACTTGGATTGGAGAACGGCCCATTCCAGCGGCTGCCAGCTTTGATCTTGGCTTACATTTCGGTTTCTTTTTTGTCTTTTTGACCGTCAAAATTGCAGTTGAGCAATCAAAACAATTCTCTCCACTCGGCAGCGCCCTCTGGCGGCGCATTAACCAAACTGAATTTATAGAATTTACAGCCCAGCAGAAGTCAAGATCATAAATTAATTAAGAGCGCTGCACGGACGGCATTTCAAATAGACAAAATATGGGACACTGGCTGACAGGGCCGGGGGCCGGGGCCAGGCTTTCGACCCACAATTGATTGGCCCAATACCAAAGGGTGCACCCCAAGTATCTAATGCAATCAGAGTATGATTTTTCATGGGCAACGCTTTTCATCTACTTTACAGATTCAGCGCACGACGAGAGAGGCGTTCGGCATGACGGAAACTGCTTAGGTATTCACTGCGGCGATCGGCACCCAAGTCTCAGTCGCAATCGCAGTCCCAGCCCCAGTCCCAGTCCAAGTCCAAGAACTGAGAACCTTTGTAACTGGCCGCTACAAATCAATTCATCGAACTGCGTGACAAACTGCGAGCAATCGTACCCTATCAACAAGCCTCACACCCCGCCCCTCCCACACCCACCCCACCGAATATAGGAGCAATATGGACTCACGCATCGGCCTGGATTACATAGTCGAAAATCGTGACTACATTGCCAAGTTGGGCTCTGCCCTAGACACGCAGAATGCGACGGTCAAGAAGCAGGTCTTCGAGCTGCTGTCCGCGCTCTGCGCCTACAGCCCCGACGGCTATGCCCGTGCCATCGAAACTCTCGAGTTTTACAAGGTATAAACCAGCTATATGCACAACCTTCATATTATTTATAATTATATGCTTGTCTAGAATCTCAAAAAGGAACGTTATCGCTTCAAAATTGTCATCAACGAGCTGGAACTGTCCAGTGCTGCTCCAGCCCCACCGCTGGACTACCAAGCAACTCTGCTGGCCTTCATCAACTGCGTCATCATCTCGGAGCCAAAGCTGCAGGAGCGCATACGCATACGCAACGAGTTTATAGGTAAGCAGTTACCCTATTTCGCTCTATAGATATTATTCCTATAGATACTACACTATTTCCAACCACTTTAACAGACAAATTAGTTATCGATGATAAGGTGTGAGGCCCAAGTTCTTAAAGTTTCATATAGAGTCAAATAGGTATAGCTTTGGCCAACTATACGTAACTCAGGAACTGTAAGCTATAAGCTAGAATTCAAAAACTAGCTCTAGTGCTTAATAGATTTCTTCATTATTCTAAGTTGAAATGCTTATGATATATGGGTAACATGTCCGACATCTACCCTCCCAGACTTTACCATTTTATTGTTTACATTTTGTTTGGGTTCTGTTTTGTTTTCTGCCAATGCTGATAACCAAAAGCCATAACGATAAACACATTAGGCCAACCACAAAAAGTCATCAGCCGACCTCCTGTTGCCCCAGGTCCCCCCCCCACCTTTATGGAGTCAACTGTTTTGCCCCTTTTGCTTTGGCTGCTGTCTTCGATTTCACTGATTTGATTGATGTGCCCGCTGATCCGCTGACGGCGCCGCTGATCGACGCTGCCCTTGACCATATACCAAACACCCAATGCCCGGACGCAGTTGGTTAGCTGCATGTCACAGCCACGCCAGCGACCCTCGGGCCTCACAGAGCTATCGCGACGCTTTTGGCTCTGTGGGTCGTGGATAATGATAGTTTTGGCATCGGGTTTGCCATACAACAAATCACCAAATCGCCTTTGTCTCTTGACGCAATCCAATTGAGTAACCTTAGCACGTGCCAACGATTAGAGGTGCGTCTTTAATGTTTTCGACTGAAAAATGTCGCCTTAGCAACAGAAAATTGACTCGTGAATTGCCCATACTTAGAATAAAATTCACTATAAAACGTGACTAGGGCTATTCCAAAAGAGTTTATGGAATAAGCAATTGCTCGGCTAAAGCTGAACGCTATCAGACATTTCGTTTACTCTTAGAATTCCCAAGCAGTTAAGGTGCTAACCACATTTAAAGGCGAAGATCACCAAAAGAAATATTTTAATAAAAGAGTTATTTATGCATTTTGCTCAGCACATGTCAGTTGTGCCTCACCCCAACAATTTGGTAATAAAGTTATCCGCTCGCTTAAAATTTAAAATAATTAAAAATAATTTGAATATTCCCTGTCATGCTCATAAATATGATATTTTCAACATTTTTATATGCGCATGCTGCTTATTTTAGGGGTTATGCCTTGGTCTAACCCCAAGATACAAGAGTTCCCACTGCATTACGACAACAAATTGTTATTTAATTCTGACTGGTCGAGTTGTACTTAAGAGCTCTGCTATATCAACAACATAGACACATAGTTAAAATGTAATAAGTCGCCTTTTTCCAGTTGTTGACAAACAAGGGGCGCATTCACATCCTGTGCCCGACTGCCTCAGTGCCCTGCCCCAGCCCCTGGCCCTGCTCCCATTCGTAGGCCTGTGCAAAGTTCATGAACTGTGCCCGTGCCCGCCCCAACCCAACGACTACAGTCGCAGCCCCATTTCTGCTGAGCTGGAGGCAGTCGTCAACCCGCTTCTTATGACTTTGATTGAGCGCAGTTGTGCGTGCGCAGGCGCAGCGACAGCAGCACCAAATGTGGGGAGCACTCGCTGATGCATTGAATGATGGCTGCACTTGCCACGGGCTGCGGCAGAGGGGATCGCCTTTTTATTGTTCTTAATTAAAATAAATTGAGCTGCGCTTTTTCAGCATTACAAGAAAATAATAAAGCAGCAGTTTTGTCGCAGCGGCGACAAAAACGACAAAATCTCTACAGCAAAATGTAAGTCACGCACTGCACCTACCCAGCCCGTCTGTTCCCCATGTCATGGCTTGCTCTTAATAAAGGGGAGCTCGGGTTGACGGAACATTTCACACATGCAGTTGTTGGCATATCGACTTGAACACATTCCTCAGCGACACATTTGACAAGAAACGGCCGCGTTTTGTTTGGCAATGAGATGATGTATTCAGTTTCAAGGCTGTTGGCCCCCGTAGCACGCCGTGGCCCCGCCCCTGCCCCCCCTGCCACGGCCAGCATGTACCAATCTTTGAGTTTCCAGGAACGCCCCAACAACATGATAAATATTTGCATATATTCGATTCAAAGATTCATTCCGTGAAATTTGCTAATGCCACTTAAGTGTCCAATTATTGGATCAGTCTCTCTCGCTCTTTCGCTCTCTTCAGAACTAGAGATCTTGAGATCTTTGATACGGAATCCGTGCTCGATCCGGTCGAGAGTATTGCCATCATATCTGTTGTATGTCATCTGTCAAGTCCATCGCTGCCGGCTGTGCGGCGTTCATTGATTTATGCCCCATGATTTTCCACAATGGCACGCAAAGTTTTTCATAGTTTTGTTGTTGTTCTTGTTGTTGTTGTTGCTGTTGTGACCGCGCCATAAATTTATTTATTTAACAATTTTCTCATTTAGTTGGCTGGCAAATTTCAATTTCAATTGATTTATAAAGCGTCAACAGCTTAACAATCTACATATAGCCGAACAGACACAAAAAAAAAAAAAAAAAACCAAAAACAAATATTCAAATCGAATTGATTTTGATTTCAATTTTTGCTTTGTTTCTTATTCTACTATTTATTATTTTATTTTATTATTTATCTCTTTGTTGTGTGGCGTGCTATTAAACAATTAACTTTGGATTCTTGGGCGTGTTTGCAAATTCCTTGGCTGTAGGGCACAAAAAACAATCTGAAGCTGTTTTTTTGGAATCGGTTCTCCCGTTTCTCTAGTCGAGACCTCGACTTCCGAAAAACTGAAACAATGCTCCGGACAAAGAAACTTTAACACACACACACACACATTTTAATTGTGCGCCTTTTATGGTTTTCAATTTCAAATAAATAAAACGACAACGAAACAAAGTCGTAAAATAAAATTATGAACGTCAAGGCGCCAAATAAGGCGAACACAGGGTGGGCAGACTAACGGGTGTAATCGTGAATGGGGGCCAGGGGGAGGGGCAACACAGAAGCTACAACAACTTTCACAAGCATTTTTGTAATTAATTTTTTATTATATTCATTCATACACACACAACAAGTTAATATAAAACATATAAGTTTGTGCGCAAATAAATGCAGCAGGCGAAAATCAACAAAAACAAGCTTGACCGGAAGCGTGTCTTGAGGCGCATTGGGCGGGCAGACCGAGTCCCCAATACCCAGTGCCCAGTACCCAGTGACCAGTGACCAGTACCCAGTCAGCGGTGGGAGTTGGGCCAGTGGCGCAAGTTAAGACCAGATACGAAAATCTTGATAACTTGATGACAAACAAACTGGGCAGAGTTTACACGAGAAAACAAGCTGCTTAATACATGTTTTAACATGCAAACTTTGAGAAAATTAATGGATTCTGCCTAAATCCTACATAAAACAAGCTTGATAATGGATCAACAATTTATAGTATTTTACAACTTATCACTTGGGTCAAGACATCAAGGAATTAAGAATATTTGAGTGAATTTTAAACAAAAGTTGTTTATCTAAAAACGAAAATTCACACTACTTTCCTGGCATCCTTTCAACTAAGTATCTAAATGTTTGGCCAGTTCCAAGTCAGCTTTCTATAGCAAAGTTCAAAGAACAATAGGGTTTAATTAAAATAATAAATACACTAGTCTCAAAAAAAAAAAAAATAGCTAAAGGTTCAGATTAAAATGGAACTCCCCACACATACATAACAAAATCGAGGCGAAAAAGTAGACAGTCGGAGGGTTATACATCCGGCAGACATTGCTGTTCATGATTTCATCGATCCACTTCATGTGATACCAGACATCCGTATAGACGGAAGGCAACAGACTGTGGCCGCAGCCGACGTGATAGCTAGTCACGCCATAAACAGTTAGGTTAACCATAAGCGGATCACCGGCATCGCCCGGGCAGGGTTCTTCGTCTAGAGTGGAATTCAAGTTGCCGGCACACATCATTTCCGGCATGAAGGGATGTAGCAATCGCTGGCATATGACACGCTCCTGCAACATGACATCGATAAAGACAATTCTGGAAGCGAGAGGCCCGCCCTGCAAACAAGGATTGACATGATTGAAGATCAGCCCAATTTCGCAAAGACAAGTCTAGTGTGAACCTCATAGAGGCGCCCCCAGCCCATGACCTTGTAGAAAATACCAGTTGTGGGTGGCCCGCGCGGCAAATTCAAAATCCCAATGTGGCGATTGTCCGAGGGCAGCTTATGTTTCAACTTAATGAGCGCAATATTGTTCGTATTATACACTGTATAGTTTTCGGGCACAAATATCTTCTTGGCCGGCACATGCAGAGTCTGACGACGGACGATCTTTAAACGATTGGGGGTTCCAGCCACAATCAGTATCAATCGACTTCGGTGAACGATCTTGCGCTTGCTTTATGTAAAGAATTCCTGCTGGATGAGCGATTACTTTTCATATATCAAAATTCGATGTACCCACTCCATCACACACTTCGCGGAGGTTAGCACATATGTAAGCGATACTATGGAGCCGCCGCAGAAATGATTATCGCCAAAGAATGTGCGCGGCGTACGCGATCTGATGGACACCACATACTTGGCCAGCCCTTCATAGACATCGATGCTAAAGCTTGGTGTGGCCAGACGCCTCACACGCTTCTCACCTACCACAAATTGCTTGCCAAGCGCAGCTAATGACAATATTAGTAAAAGCTGTAAATCGAACAAATTTCTATACAACATGACAACAATACATTACACATACTTGACGTTGACTAAATGAGGGGGTGTGTGAACGATATAGCTTGTGTACCCTAGGGTATTACGAGGGTATTCAATTTGATTATATTCCTATGTCCTATGACCTAAGTCTACATAGGATATTTGAGGGTACCATTTTATTTACTATTGTTTTCTCTCACTCTCTCTCTTCCTTCCCCGCTCTCCCTCTACTTGTGTATCAACCTTTTCTAGTTCCTTCCTCTTTCCTTTCGTATGAAAGTAAAAGGCCTGTCTCACTCAATCACTTTTCATTTGTACATTTTATTTTATGAAAATCGCATAGAAGAGCGAATAGGCAACACTGTCTCACTTTATGTCTCTCCCTTCGTCACATTTCCAATCACTTTGATTTATTGTCAATCTACACTAATCTCACAATTTAAAGTAATACTCTTTTAGTAATATATAATATTCACTGAATCAACTTGTTATTCATATGTCGTTTTCTTTGCAGGCCTCAAAGTATTGCCGCTGCTAAACACTCTAAGGTGAGTTTAAGGTTTATAGCTCTAATAGCGCCAGAGGATGGCAAATGTGAGTCAAAGACATGGCCATGCTAGACCCACACAAGCGCAACTAACTATAAAACTTGTGCATTTTGCGCCATGTGTGTGTGTGTGTGTGTGCTGAATCGAGACAATTTATGCAATGTTTGTTAACTGAAACCCTGAAACACACCCACTACAACGACGACAACAACAACAACAGCAGCAACAGCAACAACAACGATTGGCAGTCGAGTCCAAATGAATATCGCAAACAATTTGAAACGTTTTGCCATTCCGATGTGAATACACTCGTACCCAGCATTCGATTTATGATGTCGAATATCCATTTTTGATTTGCATGCAATGCCTCAACTAGACAAGATCAAGGCCCAAGCGCAAAAAAATTCACATGGGCATGCAAAGTGGCGCCCCCTCTCCGCCACCCCCTCAACCCTTTGGCATGCCAGTGGTCGGGGCAGGTGCCATCATTAACGGCCGCTTAAGCGTGGTGGCCAAGTTTGGACGATTTGGACGCTTGTCAAACATCCATCAAAATTGGCAACGATGCGAACATTTAACGATTTTTTACTCGTTGTTTGTTTGGGACTTATGCAAATAATTTACGCCGGTTTTTTTTTTGTATTTTCTCGGAGTCTGTCAAGCAATTAATTCAATATTTAATTAGTCAACAATAAATCAATTAGTTAGCTGTAGCCCAACCGTTCCTCGCCGCCAGCCCGCCCTTCGCTCAAGCCGACAAAACTGGTTTATAAATTGGTTCGCCGAGTTGACAATAATAATTTGCCGCTTCGTATAAAACTAAAACAAATTCAATTAATTTTTCAAAAAGTTTAGCTCCAAAAATGTACAATAACAATATGCCCCCCCCCCCCCCCTGCCTTCCCCTACTGCCCTTGGTTTAGGCAGCTTCTTCAGCTCTCGTCCGAGACAAGATGCCTAATTGATTGTTCTATGCCATTTGTCTTGTGGCTGTGGCTGTGTCTGAGGCCAAGTGAAGCCCATCCATTTTGTCTTCTGGCAGTTGACAAGCCCCCTCCCCCCTGTCTTTACCCCCTACATGTGGCATTGTTATGAAAATTTGAAATGCGTAGTTTCTCGCGCTTTTTAATTTATTTCAAATATCAAATCGCTTTAAACGTTTTCATTGAGCCGAGCAGCGCTTTGATTTCAGCGCTCTACTCTCCCTGCCCCGGCTATGGTCCATGGGAGGGGTGCCATAGAGGTGCTATAAATAAACGGATATTCATTTGAGCTTTTTCGACTGCGTAGCTTGGAAGCTGTTTTATTTACTTAAGCGGCTTTTAATTGCTGTCTCTTTGAATGAGTTCTAATCAATCTTAAGTTGAGGCAATATTAAATAACATCGCTATTCTATACTGCCAAAAATCTATGCTCTGGGCATATAAAATTACGTTAAGGGGATCGAGCACAACAAGAAGCAAAATCTATGGCACGCCGAAGAGCAAATACCCTTGTGACTTAAAAGGCATAGCAAAGCAACAGCGAGTCATATATCTAACTAGTTCGATTTGCTACGCCCTTTTAAATATATTAGAAGAATAATAAAACTCGTAATTGCTGAATTTGGTGAAGATATTTTGAAAACCAGAAAGGTATTCCATATAAATTCTAATATGACAGATTCTTCCCATAGAACAACTGGTACAACTTTGTTAAAATGTTCTTATATGAAAGGAAAGATATCTATATATATCAAGATATCTATATAAAAAGTAGTTTTTCAGTCTATAAATCAATAATTGGCCGATTCTTCCTTTTATAGCCTGAAACATAAATAGGGACCTAAGCTAGCCCTATTATGATATTATTAGAACTGAGAGACTTTACAAAGTCGTAGACACAATAGAACGAAAAATAAGAGTGCGTTTCAAGATTTCCAAGTCTTTCGGCATTTTACAGATTCTGGAATAAATGTTAAATCTTTCAAGAAACTCAATAAGTAATCGGAAATGAAGATTTCTTCAACTCTTAACTTGGTTTGAATTTGATTGCCCAAATTGGGAAAATCTCTGCCTTTTTTTTCGATTCGGTTTCGTGTCTTTAATTTGCCGTGTTGGTTTGTTTAACTTCCTCAGCTGCGCGCTGTTTAGTTCTCTGTTTACCGTGGCTTTTCTTTCGCTTTCGGCACCCGCATTTCGTGGCAGCCCGGCAAAAAAAAAAAAAAAAACAAAAAACTTGCGTGATGTGCCAAAATAGAAATCGCTGGCAAAACAAAAACAAAACATTGAAACAGCCGATGATGTTGACGAAGTGTCTCGTCAAAATAAAAGAGACCCCAAGAAGAGTTGGCTAAGTTTTTGGACGCGACGGCTCTCCAGTTGCCAAGTCAGCTTTTCCATTTTTGGCTATGGAGAAATCAATGCGCGCGCAGCACGTGGCAAGGACAATGGCAACAAGAAGAACAACAACAACAGCAGCAGCAGCAGTAGTGAGCCGCTCTCTCTCGAGTCTTTTTGGCTCCGTTTGGTCTCTGCTCTGTCAGGCCGTGTCCTGCCGCGTCCTCGTTATTGCCATTTGCCTTGCTGCTGGCGGTTGACTCGTCGCGTTTCGCTTGCAACACGAGCGTCACGAGAATAACACAATTGAAAAGCAATTAAAAAAGCTGCCAGTCGATTTATGGATATCAATTGACACACACACACAACACCATAAAAGGAGCAAATCTGAACAGACAGACGAGACACACACGGCGCAAGGACACAACGGCCCGACAACAACTATCGAATATGGTTGCCACTGGCGGCTGCCTATAAACGGCGCCTCGCCTCGACTCGCTTTGTGATTGCCAAGGCTGCAACGTGGAGTCATCATCCGAGTCCGAGTCCGTGTCCGAGCTTGAGTGCGACATCGAGTCCGAGACCGCGACGACATTGCCGCTGCCCTCGCAGCTGCAGCGCCGAGTCACGTATTGTTGCGCGCTGTCCCGTTACAGCGGCGCCGCCTTGCAACTGGTGCAGAATCTCAAGTGAGTCTGTGTGCCACAGATGCCAAATCTGTGTAATATTTTGGCAACCTGCTGCGGTCACCCACTTGAACTGTTGCTGTGTGCCACCTATTGCCACTTGCCGCCCGGCTGTGCCATAAATCGAGCATGAACATCGCATAAATCACAAATCAATTAATCCGCACGGGCAAAACAAATTGCAAATCTCTAATTGACGCTTGAATAATGAGCCGGACGGAATTGCAATTAGCATTTTAGCCATTTAACCCATTATTGACCCATTTACCCATTCGCCATTGCAGGAAAGTCGCACAGAGTGTCTCCGATATCATCGTACAATTGGACGTATTCGTGGAGCAACAGGAATGCGACGAGGCCCAGAGCCTGCAGGCGCCCGATGGCATCAATCTCAACTCGCATCTTGATGTCTTCTACGCGATACTGCGACAGGTGAGTTAATTCTGATTAGCGCATTAACACCTATACACCGTCTGTCAGATGCGGCGTATACGTATTGCGTATTATTTATATGACACTTTTATGCATTTGCATATATGCATTTAATTGTGCATTAAGTATACAAGCCATATGCCCTCATGACTGTAGGTTTATGTGTGTGTGGGTCGAATCAGAGGGGGTGGTTAGGGGCTGGGCAGGGGCCTGCTAAGCCAAGGCTAGGCAATGCCAAATGCCAACCCGGACATTGCACGCGAACTGGAATAAATGTCAACCTGTCATACCAAGGAAATAAGTATCAGGCCCATAGATCGAGAGCTTATTAAATAATGTAAACTTTTGAAATGTTACCAAAAACACAGTGGTGCCAGCTAACGGCAAGATAACAAATGCAATTAAATAAGGAATTAAATGCATTTCGAAGGTATTTTTTAAGGTAAATGCCTTCACAGAGACAGGGTTCTTGGAACTGTTCGCCTTCCCATTATAGGGCCACTAAGCTTTAAACTCTATGACTTACCCCTTTCGCATCCAGATGTGGTAAGAACTGAGACTCTCAATTGTTTCCATAAGTCGTGGTATTTATATTCCTGCAATGATTGACATATATGAAAATACAAGTTTTGATTAATTTAATTAAATGTTGACTTACAAAATTCGCTCTCTAATACGCTTCTTCTCGCCGCCAGGTGGCCGACAAGCCGCAGGAGGGGCCCTTTCTTAGCATATTGCAGCATCTGCTGCGCATCGATTCGAAGGATCCGCTGAGCGACGTTATTTGGGACACCACCGAGCGGTTGGTGCATCGCGCCACACTGCTCGAGTCTCCGGATGATGCGGTGCGTCTGCAGCGCCATCAGAGCACACAAAAGTTCACCTGCCCCAATTGCCGGTCGGGTGATGCCAGCAGTCCAACAAGGAAGCCCTCACAGCCGCATGTGGTGGCGTCAAAGCCACCGCCTGCACCAGCTCCGCCGCCGCCGCCGCCACCCGCAACGATTACAGTTAATGGCGCTGCACCACCGCCGCCGCCTCCGCCCGTGCCGAATGGGAAGGCACTGCCGCTGCCGCC